TTACCGTATTTGATTCTGCCTTTCTGAATTTATAGAATTGAGTAATTTAAAAAAAACAACACTAGAAATATCTGAAGGGATTCGAGATTTCGGCATAGAAATCAGATTGCTTTCAGGAAATGGGCTTTGATAAAAACTGTTCTGCGACTGATTCGTTTACAAGGCTTTAGACACCGAAGTCGTCTCGAACAAACGATGGAATCATGGTTTCATTAATGCACATCAATGATTTGATTTTAATAAATACAGCAAAATACTCATTTTATGGCGTGACTAGTTTCGGCTTTAGAAGTTTATGAGTGTACTCAAAAAGAACCTCACGAAAACCACAAAACAATGCGTCAAAACATGGTCCAAGAATGACTGTCCAGAACCTGGTCATTCAATCTCCTGTTCGCTATCATGCATTTGTCAAATCGGTAATGTTTCCAATTGATAAGCATTCGTGAGGTTCTACAAGTACAACAGCCGGAATTTGCAGGCTACTCAAAGGTTAAACAATGTATTGCTTTTGGTCTTGTTAATTTTTTTGGTAACTTCTTACCTTAGCAAATCGCGACGTTGATTTTTGATTCGACGATCAAATTCGCCGAATATCAGAGACTGACCAACAGGGCAAAAGAAGGAATTAAAAGATAAAACAAATGTTCTAGGGTGGTGACACTTCACGCGACTGGAACTTTGACATTGTAAACGGACTCTAAGTCTGGGTGTCTGCTTATGGCAGAAACACAAGTACTGCTAAGTGGACTTAAAGAAAGGTTTTAAGTAATTCTGTTTTCGAAAATTCCCAAACCCAGCAATGCATAGGACAAATTTTCGGAGACCACGGATGTTATATGCGCAGTCAAAGTGAAGGAAGCCTTATCTTTTCCCGTAAATCATTTTATCAACGACCTGTAGAAGTGGTAATTTAAAGTTCTATAGATTTCTGGAACTCCTCCCTTATTATTCATCCTACGCAAAACGTGATTGCTGTAAATGTTATTTAATTAATTTGAGAACATCTAAAGACCCACTATCTTGTACTCTCGAATTTCTCGCGTGAGACTTTCGGTCTTCGTTGCAATTTTTCTCATTAGGGAAATTCATTGTGCTTATGTGTACTTTTAAGATAATTTAGTAGCCTCTGAGATAAAAAATTATGTCTGCCATGTCGACCATGGACCGTTGCATTTACCGTATTTTCTGTTTGGCAAAAAACTTGACGAATTCTCATAGCCAACGACAATTTTTTGGGCTAAGTGCATTGATAAAGCACTTAGAATATTTACGCGGTCAAAGCAATTCCTTTAAAAGATTCGTAATATCGGAAAATGACCGGATCTAAACTGTCATAATTGTATCACGCGCCAAAATGAAGATGTGGCCTTTCATCTAAAAACGAGACCAACTGATCGACGATTTCCTGTCCTCGTGCACTTTGTTCGTCGGTTGTATAAGTTTGAATTGTCTAGTAAATGCGCTTCTTGTGTTGTGGGCCCCAGCATGTGGTCTTGAACCACGCCGGGGCCACGGAATTAGCCCTGGCCCGATTACGTTTCCCTGATACCCGCGACGAAGAGATCGGAGAGGACGTGGACACAACCGTTTACTTCAGAGCTCAACCACGTTGGTGTCGTCGTGTCGTGTGTGGGGTTTGCGCGTGTGTATTTATACCTCGGATGTATTAGTCATGCATGCGCTAACATCGAGACCTAGGTGTGGGGATAATTCAAGGTAATCGATCATGCAAATGAGGGGGGAGTTGAGGATCCGCGTGGCTGGCGACAGGTTGCGAAAAGTAGAACCCTGTGTCGGAGGTGGAGCGACCGAATTAAGGGTTGTGAAAAAACACGATTCACAACACTTGAATTCCAACTAGCTATAATTGCTTTGTTCGAGTCTTGTTGTTAAACCCTTTGCTCAACAAATTTCAATCAGGAAACAATGGTCAGAAATATGACATTTCTTTGACTCATTGAGTCGTGCGAAGCGGTAGCCTACAGGCCACTTACTGCTAAGCCTTTGTGAGTCACAGATCTACAAAAATCATCGAAGGCAAGACGTGTCCTTAAATGGAACTGTGTTAATTAACTGAGTAACCACTGCATCTAGGTAGTTAACTAATGAGAAATGTGTGTTTTGGGAAAAGGCGTAATTATCCCGCATGGGTTCCTATTCAAACCAGCGGTTAAACAGTTTGTCAATGGTTTCAATTGACAGCATTAGGGCTTAGTCGTCGCACGGCTCGTTGATGGCAGTACGCCAGTCATTCGTGAAAGCTGATTGGGTTCGAATGTTAACTGAGACCTGCTTACGATTTGATCATCAAAAATATGGTCACAGTAACAGATGAAATGTTAATGAATACAGATATAAGCGCTTGAATTCAAATGTATGGCATTGCTAGTTCAGGAAGCAGCATTAAGCACAATGATGAATCAAATCGAGTCGCCTCATTTATCAGAAAGTGTTGCTCTCTTAGATACGTCTCTGAAGGTTGTATAGCCGTCGCATCAATTGCGAGATATTCCAGAGAGGCTGCTGTTCAGGTTTTGCAAATTCAACCATGAGACATAACCACAAAGGTCGGGCTGCGTCCAGGGTACATCAATGTATTTGTGACCAATAGCAGCTCGCTGGCGTGGTCAATGGAGTCGAGGGTTGTACGCACGGGTGCTTTGTCAGACACGCGTCGGCATAAACAATTCGATCACAGAGAAACAAGGACTACATAGACGCACAGAAAGTATAAGGGTGAATTAAAGTTGGGCAAGAGTTTGAAGAATTGAATTAAATGGACTTGTCAGATCGTACACCGAAGCGAGCGTACAAAGAATAGATTAGCACCGATCCTAGGGCCTTATTTGAACTATAAATTCTAGACGTCACGTAAGATGTCCGATCGATAGTGATTGCTGGTAATTGTACCGATACCCCTTGCCCTGCTTAACTAGCCTGGGTATAACAGCCCTCTTTTTGCTACGTCCGGGTCTATCCTTCGCTTCACAATGTGGCTTAGTCACAGTCTGGAAATGCACTAGACTGAAGCCTTAGCCATCTTGTTACGATGGCAACGATGCGTCACTCGTCGACGCTTCTAACGAGCAAACCAAGATGATAAATAAGTCATATGCGTCACTGCTGGGACCATGAGGGCCACAGCTCGCTGAGATTCGTGGGATTTGCGCGCCACACCCCGAGGCAGTCAAAATGGGTGTTTTGAGTTGTCATGTCAACCTGGCTTTCTGCACGTTGTCGAGTTGCTTGGACGCTAATGAGCGAACTATTCCAGGGCATTTCTAACGCAACAATCGATCAACTTAGGTACGTCGGTGTTCAAGCAGATGGCCACTTAAAAGAATATCAATTGGTTGCTTAGGGCCTGCAATGTATGGGCAATAGATCAGTTGATGTAGAATTGACCTCATGCAAAGGATTGGTTTTCAACAGACACAAACATGGCCTTCTTTGGGGACCAACTAGTCGACACGCCAGCGATAATTCAGGGCTGCAGAATCATTCTCAACAAAAAAAACAAGTCCGAAATTGATTGGTGACGCGTTGGACTGCCATGTTGATGAGGGATGGGTGCCGACTTTCCGCCGCTGAAAATAATCGCGAGTGGGCTCTGCCAATGAGCAATTTTGGTTTGAGGAAGTCAAGTGCACACAAAGGCCCACGGATGGTCGATCGTTGGGGCAGTTTAATGTCTGCAATTATCATCCAAAAAAGGCGCTTGCGGAGTCGACTTAACAAGGCTCCGTTCAAGGTCAAGCCGACACATTTTCATGAGCGATAAGGGCCGCTTCTGGCGAGGGCAAATTTAACGTTACCAAGAGAGGATTCCTTAGGAGCGCCTCCTTTGACGCAGGTGTTTTCGTACAAAAACCGTGATTGAAAAAGTGTGGAAATGCACTTAAAATGAAAAGTCATGTAATTAGGCACAGTATTATCCGAAGTGGCGTTAGCAGAAACCCATTTGAAACGTTGAGGTTAAAATATCAAACGGGAAGTCGACGGCTCCGGAGTTTGGACAAGTATGCGAAAAGACATTCAGGGCGAGCCACGTGGCGCATAATTTACCCACGCTTAGACAGCTCGATGTTTTGTGGTACATCGCAGTCAGATAATGGAAGCATGGGTCATTTTAATTTTGCATTTGACTTTGTACGAGCACGGAATCGTTGGCAGCTATGACTACCGACCCACGAAACTGCAGCCAGCTTCCATAAAATAGGGATATTACATCACTCGTTGGCAACTGGGTAAAATTTGACTGAATCGATTGCACAGCGGAATATGACATGATTTTCCTGTGGATAAACTTCAAAGATACTGCACTGGGGTTTATGAGAGACGAAGTGATTCCTGCTTGTTATGGTCATAAGGCGGAACTAAACTGTACAAGGAAGATGACGCAATGGAAAGTTAAACCATGAGAACCACAGGACACCTAAGGGCTGCTGTGAACCTCTAAAGAAGAAATAATTACTAGTTATGAAATGGGCATGTTAAAAAGCTGGACCAGAGGCATCGGGTGGTTAATAATCCGTTCGCTCGGGAAAGGCCACGACAGGGTCGGACCTAATGCCGTAATATATTACCGAAGGCGTCAGGGAACACCGTCGCTGGGCCCCAAAAATAAACCCTTAAAGGCCACACAGGCTATTCTGTAACATTGTGTAAACAAGGCGTGCCACGACCCGTCGCAGGACACTACGTGGCCCAATGGACAAATGTTCTAAGGTGGTAACACTCCACGCGACTGGTACTTTATACAAAACCCTTCCTTTACATGGTAGAAAAGAAAAGGTAAATATGGGTTATTTGCCATTGCATTTGAAAAAAAACAACGATTGGACATTGAACACAGCCCAAATCCAAACCACTACAAAGCAATATCAAATGGAAGTAACAAAATGTACAAAAGAGCAAGAGAAGGTAAAAAAAAGAGGTAAACAAAGCAGTAGAAACGGCAAGAGAACGTGGTCTATATGTGAATGGGCACGATTAACTCAGTGAGCATGGGGCGTATCGCCTGAGTGTCGACGCTGCGACCAGCTGACAAGACGCTGCATTTGCTCAACCTGATTTCGTAATTGTTCAAGGCTACAGAGAGGATATAGAAAATGAATGAAAGACGCATGGAAGGTCGACCAAAAGCTTGAACGTAGAACGGATAATTATTTGACTTAAAGTGTGTAGCACACTCTAACTAGGAATCGGAGGTTGCCACCCCACAAACGCAATCAGCCTTGGCAACAAGAACGTGGTACCAAAAGAATAGTGAGCAAAGATGCATGCTGCTTTGTGGCGGTAGTTATGGTACCAGGTTTACTAGGAAGGCTGATCAACCCTATTTGCTTGAAGATAGACTACATATTCATGAAATAATTCCACTCAAAATCCCACAAAACTCACCGCTTTGAAAACTCGGATTCCTAAAACAACGAGATAAAATCATGAATAGACTTGGGCTCGACATACAAAGATAAAAAAACAACTAAATTATCAGTTAAAGCAACCACTCACAGTTAATTTGAGCGTAGAGAAGAAGAGGGAAATGCACTGATTTAAATCGGCAAGGAAGCTGGCAAAAAAGAAGAAAAGTATAAAAAAGAAAGTTAAGCATTAGATGCAAGATCATCATTTTGCACTCACCCTTTAGATACAGTCGGTTGCTAAAAGTCAAAAAAAGTATATAAATATAGATTAAAAGCAAATCAAACGAAACAAGAGCGGGGCCATCAAGTGTTCCAGTTTTACGTTAAATGTTTACCGACGGTAGTATATTTGTACAGTCTACACGCGACGTTAAGTCAAATCAGAATTGAAGAGTTTCATTGAAAGCAACACGAAAATTTTAAAGAACAACTAAATGGAGTAGACACAATCACTTTGAATTAGTACGTCACTTTGAATCGGGCATTATAAAGTGGTGACACAGTGAAGTAGGGTGTTAGTATAACAGCGAAACCAAACAGAAGGATATATTGTGATGGAATGAATTCAGTTAGAGGAGAGACTTACACTATTACCTAAATGATATGTTAAAAAATGGATCTGCTAACTGATTACTTTTTCAACAGGAATCAGCCCTAAAAACTGCATATAAGGCACCTGTCTGGAGGTTGCAGTAGCGAAGAAGTCACGTTTGTAGTAGATACACATTTAAAAATAATGGAATCACCTGAAATGTTACTAGACATGTTCCTTGGGTGGTTAAGAAGCAGGTATTATTTATTATCGAAATTATATTTAAAAAAGCTAGGCGTAGATGAGAGCGCGAGGTTTAACTAATTTGAACGGCTCACTAAGTCGGATAAACGAAGTTGCAGATTAGGGATGACATGCTCGCAGGTCCGTCCCGACAAATAGCTGATGCTTAAAACCATTTGAATTTTCCAAAACGTAGGTTAAAACAATCAACTCATTGCAAAATCTTCGTTTTAATAGCTAGAATCTGTTTTAGCCAATGAAATTGTCCGATTTAACAGCACTTTAAGTAAAATGTTTGCACTTTGCATAAGGCAACTTAGTCGACGGAGTGGAAAAAATGCGCAATATTTACTAGCTGGTAATAAGCCGAGTGTTAAAACTGTCTTGCGCCAAAGGCTACACCACAAGGCTAATATCGTACCTCTGCAACTGCTAGAGACTGAAACCCAGTCGATTCATTCTTGACAGGAACGGGCGGTCGAGGCAACAGACGACGGTATTTAGTTTGCCTCCTACGGGGAAGTCCCTTGGCCAGCTCATCATCCTCGGATAGTGTGAAATCGTAGATACCACTCGTGTTAGGGGTAGGAGCAAATAAGCCCAATGTAGAACGCCGACTCGTGTCAAGAGAACTGTCAATAGGTTCTGAGGTAACGGAAGCTTCGGTTTTTGTGAGCCTCGAGACCGATGGGGGAGACTGGTCGACTTTCATATTTTTACGCTCTTTGACGGTAGGAAAATTGGACGGAGAACACGGACTTAGGAGGTCAATAAATTCCTCCGCCCTAATGAAAGAAGGAAACGTTTGGTGCAAAATCATTTTGTTTTGGCTACTCGAATTCAGTAAACTTGGAAAAGGAACAGACTCTACTTCAACATTAGAAAAAACTTTGATATTTTGATGTCCCACCACCCGTTACTACTGCTTTGACATTTCAAAGGCCGTTTTTGTGCAAAGTAACGAAGCCTAGCAAGCGCAGATATGGTGCATTCACCTCTAATAGTGGACTCAAATTATTAACAAAGAATAAGAACCCAAGTTAGGTGAAATTTCCTGTTGACGAGATAGGCAATAGTGAAAGCCTACCTGTTGGTTTCCACAATCCGACTTCGAGCAATGGCCGCTGCCCGACGAATAGCAGGTCGAGACTGAAGGCGACAGCCCGAGTCGTCACTTTCGAGGGGGTTCTGCCTCAGGGACTGCGGCACTGGAAAACTAGGCGAGGATTCACTGCCATCGTCTTGACAGGCTAAACATGTTTGAAAAAAAATTAACAATGAACCGCAAACAACGCGAGATTAAGTGGGGCTGCTTCAATTAAAGTGCTAAATTTTATTCAAGATTTCATTGGTACTGTGCATTACTTAACGCATAAAATCGTTTGTGAGCAGCTTATTGAATTTCTAGGTAAAAGCTACTAACAGATAGGACCAGAATACGCCTTAACTAGATTAAAAGTACTGACAGAGTTGGTGAGTACTCGTGTCCTCGTCCTGTTTCTCGGATTTCGCCGTAGTCGCTTTCGGTTGTCTCCTCCTGCATCTACTCGATTTCGCTGTAGATGTTTTCTTCCTGGATTTGTTTTCCTTCTTATGAACCACTTCGAAGAACCTCTCTTCTGCCTCGCGCTGATTCCGATCAGCAAAAGAGGATGAAAAGAATCGTTTGCGAGTAGTGGACGACTTGGTAGAGGTTCTTTTGGGCTTTTTATTCAGACTTTTCAATTGATCGGTACTGTCACTGTCAGCAAATTTGTCGGATTGCCGAGTTTTCGACTTAGCTGTAATGCTGAAATATTTGTTTCCTAAGGCAGGTACAATGAGGCCTCCTGAAACGAAAAACAGTGAGCTAATAGAGATTGCCTTTTAAAAACTAAGCACATTTCAACACTGCGATCATCCTAATTCAACAATTATCGACCGCCAAGACCTTAAATAAAACGTCCAGTTTCTCTTTTAATGTTAACATGGGGAGTCATCGACGAATATTTCAGACCGAGAACAAACTCCTCGCAGTCTGTGAGATGATCAACCTTTCTAAGTGGCTGGACCAAGTAACCACGACCAGAAGTAAATAGTTCAAGAGATCCATTTGAGCTTTATATTGGGGGAGTTAACGTGATGGAAATGAAAAGAACAACAAGAATCCGCATCGATCGGACTAACGCTAAGAAAATCCATACAAATGCTTATGCTAGTGGCTGGATAGGCCAGTCTCTTAAGCGGAGACTCGAGACGCCTCCATTTGATTTGAGCAACATGAACTCCAGGGCTGAAAAACCGCGCTAAGAAAATCTAGCTTGGCTCGAAATTTCAAGTACTAATGATCTCAAAAAGAAATGGTACCACAGGTATCTGCACCGGTGAAATCAGGAAGAAAAAACACTGAGTTCTAAAGTAATTGGGATGTCGAATGATGTGTAGGTTGGTACGGGGAGACCATAAAGACAAATAGCTGTTACGATCCTATCAGGACACTATAAAACGACCACGTCTCGACTTGATGAAAACTCAAACACTCATCAATAAAATATACCCATGTTAGAATATCAGGAATTTATAAACAACGCTTGACAACCTGGAGCAGGCTTCTCTTCCAGAGAGAGGATTCTTGCAGACTCAGGGCAGGGAGACGCATCCACAAGATACGTGGCTGCTGTATTACAAAGCCGTTTTGAAAGACCCAATGGCTTTAGAAAGCTAGCAGCTATTTTACTGCCCTGGCTACTGCATTGATCATCGGAGGAGCATTTCTGCTCTTGCTCTTCGATTGCGTTCACAACTGCCTCCAAACGCTGGAAGGGGGAAGTGGACATGGGGGAAGGGGCTGACTGATCGACAGCACGAGAAATGCCCAGAGTTGTATCATCATTGGCAGAAGAGAAAGAGCTATTGCTGGAGCTTGGTGACAAGGAGACTCGACTTCGACGATTTCGGGTTTGAGTACTTGGACCGTCAACAGAACTCACCTGGTGAAAGACACACAGGGTGACGGTAAAAATTGCGGCCCTCTTTGACGAAGTTTGGGCGCAAGTCACTTTTGGTATAAAAATGCACTACGCATCTGGACGACAAAGCGATTAACTGTTACAACAAAAATATGCTGCAACTTATAACTTGAAAAACAGACACAATGCAAATTCTTAGACGATTTAACTCAGACTTTTAATTTCCAATCGACATGATAAAGTTACACAAACCTTTGCAGTCCTAGCCGCTGATCGTCTAGAGGGAGGCCGTTTTGGAGTCTTGAAATTTGCCAGGACCTCTGAAGATTTCTGTTTGTCTTCATCTAGCGGTATATCCTAGAACAAGATATACAAAAATCAATGCCATTGGAAAAACACAAGAAACATCATGTACAAATGACATGGGCTTGCCAATAATAAAGTTTAATGAAGTCAGACCGTTTTTAAATGGCCTTAATGCCAGAGAACGGTTTCTGCAATCTTTGACACTCGCGATCCTTAGACACTAGTACCACAGCGGCTCAAGAAGTCCCCAAATTTACTAAGATGTGATAATTTACAATCAAATCTGATGATTGCGTAATTTAGAATGGATCGAGACGTTCTTACACCCCCGGGCATTAATGGCCTGATTATGATTTGTGACTGTGGGCCTTTGCATGTGGCCCTGAAACAAAAGCTTACTTTAGGGGGTTTTGGAGGACTGGTGTGTTTCTGTTGCGATATCCGGTGCAAAGGTGTTACTCCAGAGACGTCTAAATCGACAGAAGCCACAGGTGACGGGCGTACTAAGTGCTCACTGGGGTCTGGAGACACGATAAGTGGAGAACCTAGAAAAAAAAACAATTTATAGAACTATTAATGTCATTTTTTTCGATCAATTGAAATGAAACTTTTCTGGAATCTGCTCTTTAATGAGAAACCATGGTCATCTTTGCAATAAAAACTTTTTAATTACAGTTTCCGATTGAAATATGCATGTCTATGTCACTTTGTCTAACCACTGTAATCGACAACCCCTTCCGCCACAACAAATTGATGAATTAGAAGTACGATAAAATTTTAGGTACACTGAAGTTTACACGTTACAGTGATTGCGCGCCTACACAGACAAACTAAAACACACCAGGGATAAACAACTAGTTTCCGATAATTCGAGATATCGATTGGCATTATTAAACTTAAAGCTTTAAAGACGGTAAAGTAATAGTCTCCGCAAACACAGACATTAACATACGTTTTTTCAAGAGCTTCGGTAGGGGCTCTTCATCAATGTCGACAGAACCACGATTGCCTCCTTGAATGAGCTCGATGTGAGCAGACAGTGCTTCCATTCGCTTTTCTGATAAGAGGCAAGCTTCTGCTGAGGGAACGGCCGTTCCTCTGGCACGTTCTGGCGACCCTTCCAGCAAGCACGTTGGTGCGATTGCTTCCGACGGTGGTAGAGCAGGTGCGTTAGCTGGGAGGTACAAAAAGGCCATCCTCGTTAAAATACTCCCCATTTTGGGTTCGGTCATACAGTTAAGGTTTGCTCATTAAAAGCGACATCAGGCTAGTGAACGACATTCACGTGTGGACACAAAATATGTGCTTACTTGTAAGTTTCAGTAGATTAAACGTTTTGGTCTTGGAAGATGAAAAAGTGATAAATAATCCCACATTTACAAAAAATAGGCTAAAGGCAATTTAAGCTTTCTTTATGCAAGATCAAATGCAAACAATGTGAACAACTGGTCTATTACCGAGCTTATCCACGGGCGATTGCTGCTGGGTCGATTGGGATTCACGGCCACTGGATGAATCAGGGCCTAAAATATAGAACAAGGACATCAAGTAGTAACCACGTTGCACTGTAGTAGAGTATTGATTACTGGGTATTGACTGCACACTGCAAATGAATATATAGCCTATGGAGAAGAAAAAGTCTTTCTAATAAAGTATAAAATTATCTAGCCTAGTTTGGAGACAACAAATCTGCTAAATCTGGTCATATTTTCGCAGTCTGCTATGTTCCTGAATCATGTATTAGGCAAAACATCAAATAGGTGAACAGTAGAGCTAGAATGTTAAAGATATAACAGTGAAAGAGGAAGCTCACCTAAGATGTCTTCCTGTGAGGGATGTATGGGCGATAGAGGCGACATCAATGACTGAGAAGATGGAACAAGTAACAAATCACCCTCCTGTTGTTGCGAGTGCGTTTCCGTCTTCGACGTCTCGACACGCACAATGCCTTCGATATTCCCAGCCAATGGTACTGTGTCATCAATATCTGCACAAAGTGAAGGGGCACCAAGCAATATCAGCAACATTCAGACATTTTCAGTAGGCAACAATTTACTATAGCGGCTAAAATACGTCGAATCAAGCGGAAAACAGTCATCCCCAGTCGCTCAAATAAGCAACGTCCACGACAGATTGATTCTCCTGTACGCCAAATGGAGTTGATTGGCACTTCTGTCATCTTAAGGAACAAACTATAGGCTTTACCTGGTCTCTACATCGCAACGGTGACACGGCAAGCGTGTATAGATGTCATCCAATGTAAAATTCTATCTGCTTCAGAAAGCAGTACAATGAACCTTGACCTCTAGAAGTCTCAAAAACTGGTAGTGACGAATCTTGTGGTTTCACGGCTTTACTCACCGTTCACGCATGGCCGGTTCCCGTGTTTACTTGCTCCCGCATATTTCCTGTGTCCACTCTGATGAGCATCAACACTTGTCCTGCATGCCTACACAAACCCCGCTAATCCTCTGTGTTAACGCACCGACAACACACGCATCCCACAATTCACACTCACGAACGAACACGACACGGGGCCACAGTCTCGTCGGTTCATTAAACGGTTCTGAAAACCCCGTCTTGCGCTTCCTTATCCTCATCCAGATACCTTGAGCAGTGTCGTGCCACAACAGCAGCGTCGCAAATGCAAAGGTCAAGCACATCTACCGCGGCATGGCAATAGTTGTGGTAGTCTCAACAAGATCACGATTTTGGTCGTACCATGAACCTAAATCCCCTTTACAACCGAGACTAAACCTAACTCACCAACAGTGAAAGTCCGTGGTGAATTTGGTACTTCTTTTCTCTTTCGTTTATTCCTTCGTCCTGGCAATGGCTTCCTAGCCTCTTCCCCTAATACGGTGATAAAATCTTCAATCAAATCGTCAGCTCGGGGCGACGGTGACCGTTGGTTTCTTCGCTTTAGGTTCAGGGAGTTTTCCTCAACAAACTTGGCAAACATCTGCAGAGTGCCATGGGGATCTTTACCTGCGTTACTATAAGAATGAAAGATGAGTACACAAGAGGCAACAAAGGCTAGTGGTTATTGAGTATCTTTGCACTGTACCCTGAAATCGTGCATCATTTTGAACATAACCATTGTTCAAAGTCAACTGTTTGCAGATGCTTATGTTTAAATTTGATTGGGGATATACGCATATTAAAAAAAACCACGTGTATATGAATGAATAAGCAAAAGCACCTTTAAGCGACGAGTGTGTGAGGGCTTGGTCAGAATACGTGGTTACTAGCAGATGCAGTTACGCAAATTCATACGTCAAAATATTACATATAAAAAGGAACAAAGGTTAGCACCTGGTTTCGTCGGTGTTGCTAACGTTTTCCATGGTTTGCTGATTCTTGATTGGCACTTGAGCTGGTTCAACGTTCGATTTCACGTCGTAGTTCTTACGAAGATCTCTCCTTGGTTTGTTGTTGATTGGTGACTGAGGTTGAGTGCTGACGTAAGGGTCATCATCACTAAAATGACAAATTGACTATGCACTAGATAAAATACAAATGGGTGACCTCCCATTTAGAATGTTAAAGCACCTCTGGAAAAATCCGAAAAGGTTAAAAGGTTTACATTTTAACATCGGGGAAGTGAGCAAATTAGCAATGAACAGTGAAACGGTAGTTCATATTTGGGGCATAGTGAGGCAGATGACTAAACAGACCACATTGAGCTAGTCTAAAGAGAATGAACAGTAGTTTTGATCTAGTTGAGTTCAAAAGAACAAGAGCACTCGACGTAAAAATTATCTAAATAATGTTAAAATATCTGCGTCCAAGTAAGCCACATTATTCGTCTTCCCAAAAGTTGGATACCCAGTTGATGCGGGTTTGACTGTTGTAGAATGTTCAGGTTTTCTTAGGATCGCCATTTACTTCAAACGAAAAAAAAACTATCCCTGTTTGTTATGTACGATACAATTATTAAACCACATTAAAACCACTCAGTGTTATTAGAAAACGCCAGATAAGACCTAAAAGCACTAAAATCGGCCTGGATGAATAGTTCGTTTGGGTAAGAGTTATGTACAAGAACTTACGGATCCTTAACCTCTTCCCGCTCATCAAGTTCAACAGTAGAATTATTGCCGGCTGTAGTTGAGGGGTGGTTGACGTCCTCCAGCGTGTTGGCATTATCATAATGGTTTTGAGAAGCCTTGACGAACTCTGCAGGTGCTACCGCCCCGTCACTAAAAGAAAGCATGCGTTTACGATAATGCTTTGGAATGCCCCAGGTTTGTTGATTCCCCAAATACAGCGACTTTTGCATTCTGCTTTAAGAAAAAGTACGGTCAGAGCATTGCGACACCTCTAAACCGTAGCAACACTACATGGAAACTTGTGCGTCTGTCCGATACACAATATTTGCAAGGGGCAGTGAATTTGTGGCTTACTCGTTGGCAGCAGGGTTCAAAGTTTGATCTTCAAGTGTAGGCTTCGATGGCGAGTGAGTTTCGTGCCCACTAGTCACGGGAAAAGGCGAGCACGCAGAGTGGACAGACTCCAAGTTTTTCGACTCGGACCTGAGGGGTCCATTTGATCCGATATTAACACTGAGTGGTGTTCTTGCCGTCTGCCTTTTATCTAACCGACGATTAGATTTAAAATCCTTTTCAGGGGTCTGAAAAATGATTTCAGATAAAACTAGTTACAAAGCAAGGCTAACTCCTGACTAGCGTGGTCTACATACAAAAAACTGGATGAACGGAATAAATGACGAATTTGAGGGGGAAAGAGTCTTAAATAAATCGGAAAGTCTATATCAAGGTTAAAAGGTGAAAAGCCTTAACATTGCCAAAAATTTGAAGGGGAATACTTACGGGGCACTTTAAACCGAGTCCTTCTGCAGACTCCTCAAAGGATACATCAGGATCCCGAAAAAATGACTTCGGCCGATTCTCGTCGCACTGGTCAATCTCTATGAAAAGCGGAGACTTGCAGCTGAAAAAACTGCTGTTTGGCTCATCGACGCTTACTTCACCACATCGGGGTGCTGTTTTAAGCTCGCGTTGGCTGACCGATTGTGACAGCGATGATGAAATCATGTTCTAATGTGAAACGGTAAAAGTGCAGCAAGTAAAATCGGAAAACCCACAATCTCATTACCAGTGGCAGTGATATCCCCAAATGGGTCTATACCTGAGACGGCACAGAGGCTAATTAACAAATTCAGTTTATGCCAGCAAATTTTCAAATCACATGCAGTGCTGCTCATCTAGTTATATTAAGAGGAAGTCAAAATGAATTAGTTCACAAATAAGTTAAGTTCATGGTTCTCTTTGTTCGAAGCCAAGTAAAGCACGAACACTCGTACGTAGGTTAATAGCAATAGGCTGATAGTTCACACTGAGTACGACGGAAAATTAGAGTGCAGATTTCCTGTCTGCCAAAAATACCACGGAAGAGCCTAGCCACATGAGTTGCCTTAATCGTCTGAAAATAAAGTGACTTAGACTAGCACCCAAACCGCATAAAAATAAACGTATTTAATGTCGAAGTATTAGAGCACGAAATAAAAGCAATGCCTTGAAGGAAAAAGGGTTAAAGCAGTAGGTTCAGGACATTGATTTGTAGGGCTATTTAAAGAAAAGGTCACTCATTAAAAAGCGCCAATAAGTCCAGAACTAATAAACGAAACAACTGTACGTTAGCAAATCACCTCAGCATAAGCCTTTAGGCCTTCTAGAAGATGTAGGAGTTGCTGCTTGGATTGACTGCATCGAATCTCCGAATTTTGAAGGGCAGAGAAAACCGATTGTTCAGGCAATCCGCTGGCGACATCAGGTGGATTGAGCTCAAGCTCAAGTACGCTGCCTCTGCGCTGGCTATCTTCCCACCTAATGAAATCGCACAGGAACTCCGAAGTCGAAATGCTGAGGACAATACGCTCTGAATTACCTTAAATGAATGAAAACTGATTTCAACGCATTCCGGTTGTGCTCAATGAACCCGGTTAGTTCGAAAAAGCAGAATTACTTTGTCTAGCAGATGTGGTGTCGGGGGTACGTTGCCAAAAATGCATACAAGCAAACGCACATATGGACATTTGATTTTTAGTGAATAATGATTCGATTACTAGGTTGTTGAGTATTACGAAATTTGGCAAATTCAAAAACGTAAGCACAAATTCATGACAAATGATACAATACGCATCAAGTTAAATTCATGGCATCTGAAATGGAAGTTGTAGGAAGCTTCACATTTGCAAAGTTCAAATGGCAATTTGAGTTAGTTTCTTAGACTTTTGCTTATTCTACACATTGCGCAGTTTAACCCTCCATTTCATGAAACCTTTTAACGTAAGTTGGAAAATCAAAGTAGTGTAAGAAATTCCAATGAAATTTCAACTATAAATTGAAGAGCATGAAGCGTTGAACAATCACGCATAAAATCGATCCGCAATTCGCTGATCGGTGACGCACAAACCACAGACCAGCCCAACTAGTTTTGCAAGTCGAAACTGCAAATAACTTACAACTGACATCCACCTCCTCAATGATTTCTGCGGAGACGGATATTGTCTCTAAGTTTTGGTCCCCTTCATCATTCTGTGAAAAAAAAGGAACTTCAGTGGCACAGAAACAACTACACATCAAATATTGGGTGGGACCTCACCGAGAATGTACAATACGTTGTAATCCTTTCGGGCAGCACATTGAAATCGACCCAGAAAAGCTCCTTACTTGGCGACGACAAGGACGAACAAGAAAGCTGTAAAATAAAACGATTAAAAATTTCACTTGGAATAAATTGATTAAGTAGAAATTTGAGGGTAATAAAAGCAGCAACATTGATAAAAATGTCTAGTGGAGAAAATTGACGGGGATAAGCAATGTACCTCGTGTCCACACAAGCGAGCGTTGGTGCAAGGAAGAGAAAAAACCATTTGAGAACTGGGGTCCAGTGAGTTAATCCTGTTTATCAAAAGTCTAGCCGCCTAAAAGAGATAAATGAAACAAGATACTAACCGAGACAGCGTTTTGCATGTCCTGCCAAAGATAATAAAAGGCACTTAAATAGAGTTGCAGAATCAAGTGTCCTAGTCACGAGGCTTTAGTGTTTGAATAACGATAAGCGTTTAAAGGCAGGCAGCTAAGGAAAAAGAAATGCAAATTGGGGGTGACGCTTTCTTAAAACGGTGAGCTGCACTAGTTGTTGGGTATTAGACCGAAATATCTTGAGGGGGAAATGTCAAGGCCAGTTAAGAAGCTTAATATCAGTGAATACTCTACTAGAGAATAAACACAAGAGACTTGCAAATCTTATAATACTCTGTAACGTTTTTACGTTTAATGTATTACATGAAGAAGAGACAAAAACGATGTCCTGACTTCACATTTTCAGATTAATCTGAGAGTAAGACTACCTTTTATACAAATAAAGCAGACAAAACGAGAGTAACAAATAGTGCACTTGATTTGCACCAATCGTCCTTGTTAGATTACTAGATTTCCGCCAATACACCAGAGAAATCAAGTTTGATAGATATTTAAGCACAAGATATCATCTAATTTAAATAAATAAAGTAATAACCACATACATATAGACGGCAATTGATCAAGGACAGTAAATTACCAACAATGGCATATTTATAAAAACTGGGACAAAACATGGTCTAGGAGAACTATTTTTTGAGTAGGAAGATAAAAATTTAGTGCTTCTGAAACTTTTGCTGACAAACACAATTACTAATTCTCATATTTCATGGGCTTCATCAAAATAATTTATTTCCCTTTAGACCAATGCCCTAAATGAAACTACGTTCGAGATACAAATTCACAACCAGAACCAAGTTATCTGTTACACAATAGCAGTCAATTAACAAAACAATCAAGATACAACTCACGGGTTCGAACTCACGACCTATTATAGAACAAAAAGATTCCGAGACATTCCGGTGGAGATGCCTATCCGCAAAGTCTTTGCGTCTTGCTGCAGGAATGACATGTAAAAGTAGTTCAACCACTTGCGCTTGAGTGTCATAATCGCCGATGGCACGGAGGTTGGAAGCAAGACAGGCACTATGAAATTTATTACAGCATAAAGTTAAATGGATAAAAACAGGAAAATTGTGGGCAAATCCTACTAAGACCTCATCAACAGTAAAATGTTCATTAGCCCTGTTATAAAGAGTTTCTAACAGGTTAACAGAATAACATTTGCTAGACAACCAGTTTTCCTGAAAATACGACTTTCACCCCGAAATCAACTGTGACACAAAATACGAAGCGAAATATTCTATAAGTTGCTCGTAATTCGGATGCTAACCTGAGACAAATTTGGTGGGATCTACTAACATGAAGCATTAATGCAAGATATTTCCCATTCAGTGAAATCCTAAGATGGTTTGTGCTGCTTACTTTTTAATTTCAGTCCTCGTTAAGAGCCAGAATTACAAAAACCTGATAACCAAGGGGCGACACAGTATAGTAAGAAGACATTCGACTTACTAGACGTTTTGAATATGTGGCTTTAAAAAGAGCTCAACCTTTGTTGTTGATGAGAGATTTGAAATTTCATTCAATGCACAGAGTATCTACTAAGTAGTGGAATGTTTTAAGGCAAACTTACCGAATATTTGGTATAAATATTGAAAGTGGGATCAGTGACTGCGGGATAAAATGAGGTGAGCAAATGCTCGTATACAAATACTAATGCTATGTGGCGGTTATGCTACCGATAGACTTACAACTAGGCGAAATATGTAAGGTATTCTATGGGAAACACCAGTGAGCGAACGTACGACCAAGCCTACCTCGACAAGGCACGAGAAAAAACTACGAACATCATCCGGAAGAACTCCATCAAGATGAGTTAAATGCTCACACAGAGCGCCTTTAAAAAATTATAGATGTAGGTAGATTACCGAGGACATTAAAGAGATCCAATGGAATGCTCTTCTCATCACACCGGCTTAGTGCCATTGACAGAGCATTTGTAAGACTCGTAAATGAATTGCGAGAAAGAGCTTCTGTATTTTTTAATTTAATAAAAATCTCTTTTAAAGTCTTTGATGAAAATAGTTGAGGTGAGGCTGCATTATCAACTAATAGAGCACTTATCCATGCCTCCATGTCCGGAAACAACAAGTTATCGGTGTCTAATTGGCTAAGTAAAACAATTTTGTGAAACTTTTTGTTCTCTTGTGATTTGACCGTAACTCGAATGTTAAAGCATTGTATTTTACTTAACTCAAGTTTAAGTACACGATTCATTCTTGCCAACGCAAGCATGTTACTATAACCTTCAAAATAT